ACCTCCACCAATTGCTCCCCAGCTCTTGCTATATTAAAGCAAACAGGCATGCTCTTCTAGTTCTGAAATTCGGTTTTCAATTTTAAGTCACAGAAAAAAAAGAGAAAGAAAATAAAACAAAGCATTTTTCACCTGATAGTGTGAAAAAAAAATTATTATTTTGTATGCTGCAAACATGTAAATAAATATTAAAGCTTTTCCTCATTTAAACTGCATTTGGAATATCCTAAGCATTTAGTTAAAATGACAGAAGAATACTGCTACCTGAAGCCCATGTAAAGAATCTCTCTTTAACAGGCTTTTACAGACTGCAAGCCAGAGCATCTAAAAAGCACATCCCTGAATAATTTAAGGCTTCTGGCATCTACATTGATAGAGCTCCTTTGCTAAACCTGGAGGAAAAAAAGCAGAGGTAAGAGAAAGAATAAAGGTCGTGCAAGATCAGAGACAAAATCACTACTAAAAAAGTATTTTTCCTATCTCAAAGTTTAATCAGACATGGAGGAGCACAGCTTTTACAGCCAGCCCTTCCCATTTACTGTCAACAGCTGTGGTCTAACATTAACATTTACCCTTTGGCAGTGTTAAGTTAAGGCCGTGATGATCAGGGAAACAATACAGGAACAAAATGAAAGAGAAGGAAGGAAACCGATCAAGAAGGTGAAGCACAGCACAAATCCTCATTAGCAGAAATTCAATAACAAATAAAAAGCAAAAAGCCAGAGTTTATCATGAATTTTAAATAGGTAACCTACAGTTTAAGGCAAAAGAAGAAAGAGAAAAAAAAAACAGTAACAAACTCTGGAAGAACAGACCAATGTAAATACATATAATTAAAGCAAAACAAAACACGATTATGCTATTAAGACACCAGGCAACCTGGTTTGGTGCAGGGTAATCCCAATTTAGAACTAATTGTACAAAGGTCGAATTACAAATCAGTGTATTGTTGACAATACCAAGTTTTCTCTGCCAACTACATCCTTTAAACATCAGCAAATCCTACCTACTTCCTCTTGTGTCTGTCACAGAAACCATCCAAACAATGGGAGCGAGCAATCTTCACCTCAACAGCTATTGACTTCGAGCAAACTGAACACTTTATCCATTTTTCTCCTAGATTGGAAAGTCCTTGCTGCTCTACAGTATCTGAAAGCTTCACCACTGATTACAACTAGTTCAGGATCTGGCTCCTCCTTAGTGTACAAAAATGGACTTGAAACAATAGGAAACCTTATCTGAGGAAGTTAACACAGGTCACCCTTCTCCACACATGAATACTGACTTCACATTGACAGAAAAAGAGCTCAACTAAGTCTTATGAATAAGAAATTGGAAAAAGTGTCACATACAGAATGTTGATTTTTTTTTAAAAAAAAGGCATTCACCCTTTTGAGAAACAGATTTTCCATTTTACACAACTTTCCATGTAATTGCTAGAAGAAGAGTCATTAGCAAGTCACTTGAATGTATAGCAAGCAGGTCAGCTGAAGTGTAGAAGCAGATTCAGAATGGGGCAAAACCAACCTGCCTAACACAGAATTTCCAAGTAAATGCCTGTAAAAGTGATTCCTCCCTCTTTTTGTGGAATTTTTATTTCCTATGACAATGGAAATGAAAGAGTAAGAAAATTACGCCATTTAATATGCAACTGCAGCATTTTTCCAATGTAATTACAAGCCAAAAAAAAAATTTGATGCACATTTTTCTCCCTTACAACTCAAGAAGTTCAGTCATCACAGAAAGCGGAAGGTTACGAGAAACTAAACTGCAATTTGGTTTTCAAATTTCATCCAAACAGGCTAGCTGTTATCTACTCTTCATTCAGCTCACTCCGAGCTACACTACAAAAAGGTTCTTTGTGATAAGTATTCAAAGTAAAAAATATATTTAATAAAAAGGTAATACAAGATGGACAAGGTGAGCCTTTGGACCCTGTGACAAAAAAGAAAGGTTTGGAAATGTAGATATTTCTAAGACTATTATGGTAGGAAGGATCTCCTTCCAGAAGACATAACGGAGTAACAAAATAAATTCAACTTTAAACAGCTAAACTGAAGTTTAAAGCCGTAAGGGAAAGCTTGACATGGTGGACCCTTAGCTAGTAGAAATATGCATAATTCCAGTAACGTCAATAATAACACATGAAGTTATGCTAGCTGTTGATCTCATTTATAATATCTAAAGCCCACACCCAACTATAAATACATATATATATTATGTTTGCTTTTTGAAAACTGATTGAAGTTTAATAGCAACTCATAATTGAAATATTCATGGTCCCAAGCTAGCTTTGAAGTTAAATCCCTAAGTGGATAAAGTGGACTGTATATCTAATCTAAACTAAATGTTTCCCTTAGTTACTAATCGCAGTGCAGTTTCACTAGTTAAAATCATTATTACAGAAAAAAAAAAAACGCAAACCCCACAGCATTTTAAGGGGCATTTAATCCTGCTCAGCGCTAGGACACAGCACATGATCTTGGCAGCACGACTACCTCTGCTACCTTCTATATCTTTGCTTCAAGAGTTGACTAACTTGGTCATTTATAGGTCAGAAAGTTTTAACCACAGCTTTCCAGAGCTGCTACTGTTACCAAAGTTTCTTACAACTCCTTTCAATGTTAAAAGTTTCAATTTAAGACTACAGATCTACCTCAGGTTTCTAGCCCATTTCTCAAGCAATGGAGCTAGAAATAAAATGTCACTAATTTTTGTACCTGGACTGCAGATTGTAACTGTTTCAGTGGAGCACTTCAGTTTTCTTCATATACTCTGCACATCATACATGCACACACCTACCCATATATAACTCCATAACGAAATCTGTGCAGCAATCCAGAGTTTGGTTGCCTCTGAACTAAAGTGGCTGTGACCTCCTTCACTGGTCTACATTTCCATCCTTCACCATTTTGGGCTCAATTAATAAAAACTGAACCTATGAAAGCTTGCCCATCCTCTCACATGTTTAAAAAGAAAAAAATTTAAAAAACCCAAAACACCAAGTGTTCCTGCCAGGCTGCTGCCAGTAACAAGGAGAGTACTGTACAGACTTATAGATTATATAAAGTCATTATAATATAGTTTGAAGGCAGGTTTGAATCCTAGAGAAAACAGTCACAATTGTGTTACTTCTGCAGCAGTAATTTCCCCATGGTTTTGGTTATGTTGATCTCCGTTCCTGTTTCGCAGAGCCCACAGCGACATACATTATATCCAAGTATATGTCTGAAACTCCATAACCTTTGCCAGAGTAACTCTCCAGGAAGCTCTCCTGACCTTTACTTAAGATAAAGAAACCAAGTGAAATGGAGAAATAAATGTTCCTTTGATAATACTGTGTAAGCTGTGGCTAAAGAACTTTGAAATAAAACTGCATTAATAAAATAGCCATATTAGGAGAATTTCTTTATCACCAAAAGCAGAGACCAACTTCAATGGGTCTTTTCATTCACAGTTCACAAATTATTTTCCAAGAATCATTGACTTGTTGTGTAACGATAATTGTGGGTTAACAGAAGCCCTAGCTGAACTTTGTACTCTTACACAAAGGATGTATGCATACATGACTATATTTGGACACAGCTCGATATGTAGGATAACGTATCTGATTTTCAACTTATAGATAATTTTGGCGTTCATATTATAATTTAATAATAATAAAAGTCTTTGAAGCCAGAGGTGGAAAAAAAAAATTGTTACAAAGGGCAACTTTAAAAGTTTAAAAGTGATCATGATTATTGGTTGGTATATGTATAGGGACTTCTAGAGAAAAATAAAAAATAAATTGTTGCTCTGCAGATATACTATCAGAGTCCAGGGGATGAGAAATCCTTTTATTTCCTTTTTTCCTCACAAAATGTTGTTATGGATACTCTCAATAAATTCTTAAAACAGTTTCTAAATAACTGGGAAAATTTTTCTAAAATATTTATAAGAAAAATCAACAAGTCTGAATTTGATTTTTGAGTTAAAGACTATTTTAATGAAATTCTTTCTAATCTCTAATTTTAATCCTAACATTTCAGTACATAAATGCTGTATTTAACAGTTATCTGGTTTAGTGAACTGCGGTAATTCGCTCTCATAGGAGAAATCATTTAAGTCATTTAGCAAAATGGAAAAGCTACCATGTGCTCTGCTGCAATCAGTAGACACTGTTTAGAAGAGACCTCTGATGACGGAGAGGAGCCTTGCCATGAGGAAGGAAGATGCATAAAGGAGCTCCAAGAAGTCTGTGACTTTGTCAGATAATGTTTCTCATGCCATTTCTTTACTACGCCCTTGCAACCACCCAAAACCACAGAACAGCAGGTACAGCGAAGGGGAGCTAGCATTTAACAGAATAGTAGCACTTTAGCAGGTAAAGGCAAGTTTCGAGGGGTACAGGCTAAAAAAACCTAAGTTTGGGCACATGTTAAGTAAAGTAGCAAACAATGCAAAGCATGCAGCTTAACATAACTCCTGCTTCCTCCCATTAATTCAAAGGGAAATTTTGTTTGAGCAACAAAATGCCACATGCTAACATGACTTAAAAATGCTTCAGCGGTGGCCATATTGGATTGATTATGTGGAGAATTTTTTTTATTTATTTATACACAAAATGTATCGAGCAGTCCAATTTCTGCTAGGCCGAGCTGCCTCCTATATCCCACAGTATCTGATCCGTAGTGGCTCAACACGCTCCTTTCCTCACTCTACAGACAGAGAAACACCCTCCACCTCCACAATGTGAGTTTTTCCTTCCTTCCCCAGGGCTGGGGGGTGGGAATTACAGGAGAAGGCCCTCTGCTAAAGGTTATACCTTCAGTCCAGACAACTTCTTTTGGCTGCACGTCAAAATGTCACTTGCTTTATCTATTCATCGCACTGATGTCACCGACCAGCAAAAGGAACTACCACATGACCGCAGACAACACAATAAATAACAAATATGAAGACCCAAATATAAATACACAAACATATATTTTTAAGAAAGTGATGATTCATACTATACTTACAACTTTCAGCCTGATAGTCTGGCACAAACTGCTCGTCATTGTCAGGTACCTGAGCTGAAGAAAGGAAAACAAAAACAAAAAACAAACAAACAAAAAATAAAAACAAGAAAAGAATTAAAAGAAGCCATTGAAGCATAAATAAAGACTCTTCTGCTTAATTTCAAGCACAGCCAAGATTAAAACTAGGATTTTTTTTCCTCATTGTTGAGTATGAAAATCAGGCAAGCGCATCATTTTAATATCAGATAAACCCTGGGGCGAAGCCGTGCGGCGCAGTGCGCGTCCAGAGCAGCCCCGGCACAGAGCAATGGGGATGGGAGGACGTGAAGGTTGACACTGGCACTGGTCCTGCCTCACTCCCTGCACAAGGGTCTGGACCTACCATGCCACTGGTAAAACTCATTAGCGCTCATTTCCAAAGTATCTGCATGGAAAGTCTGCATAAACCCAAATCCTACTGTTTAACTCTTCTGCATCTTTAATCCCAAACTACCACACCTTCAGCTTACTTAAAAGCATTTCAAATTTTTCATGGCAATCAGCCAACACAGTAGGGGTTTTTTGTAATTGTTTTACATACTCAAAAAGAACTATTTTACCAGACCACAAAATTCCTGGTTCAACGACAAAATTTCAGACATTAAAATAAAAGATTTACTTAAAGAATCATTATTAACATCCATTCACCTTGTGTAAGATCATCTTCGCTTTTAGGAAACTTTCATCACAAACCTGAGCTATAAAATACAATCGTTTCACGGTCTACTGATACATAATTTTGCGTCTGTGGTACCACAGTTCCTTTTCATTGTATATCTAAGACATTAGCCATCTCTCACACTGTGTTGTAAACTCAATTAAACCATTTAAGCTGAAATACCACTGAACGCGTATTATAGGTGAATACATTCGAACAACTGCAGAACATTACACTGAGAAGAGGTATTCTCGGAGCATGACTTGTTCTGGGTACATCCCGAGAGAGATCCAGCTTAACGTCTCTGAACTTTGTCATCCTTTTCTCAAACATATACTAACTGGAATCATCACAGCAGAGCTGCATAAAATTATCTGTTTGAAAATATTTTAATTTACACAGTTTTTGTCTAAAGACAAGCAAATAATTCATATGATCTTAATTAAAAGTTAACATCTGCCATGATCTGGTTACCCAACAAGATTTGAGAGGTAAATATTGGTTATATAATCATTTATCAAAACTGTGACTATCAAACCATTAAATACATCAAATGATAAAATATAACTTTAATGCTCTTCAGAACACTTTCTAGTTTAGGAAGCATATGTTCCCCTTCATATACATGCTATTGCTACTAGTTTTAACAGAATTTGTTTGAATTAAAAATACGTATTTTATTATAATTGCAATTCTTTTGAATGTGCACTACAGTACTCTTCATGGACCAGATCTCCACTCCTCACTCAGGAAATACTGGGAGTTTTTTTCCTGGGTAAAGGGTTCAGAATAAGGCTCATACTGAAAAATTATTTGCTCTCGGTTTTAAAACAAACGTTTGAAGTCCTACTGTCTTAATTGCAGCAAATACCCCTTAAAAACAAATGACCTTGGAAAATCTGCAAACACAGGTTTGAAAAGAAGCGTAAGATAAATACACAAAGTGTAATTCGCATTACTCTGAAAAAAACATAGCTAGTGTTGTTTTGCTGTTTGGGTTTTTTAATTAAAAAAAAAAATAAAAATTGCAGTAACCTAGCCTTTAGAAGAAACCAGTACCTCTGAGGACATGTTGTCTCCTCAAAGTTTGAAGTTGTATGAAACATGAATTTTACCAACCCAAATTTTCCCACTATTTTTGATGCATTAAATTTCTCTTTCCTCCAGAGAAACCATAGGGCTTTTACCAAAAATTAACTCAGGGACAATATGAGCCCAAATACTAACTCTCTGCAATTTCTGACATTTCATGCAATTCACTGCGTGCGATTCTTAGGCATCTTCCTTACAAAAATGCCAAATATTTGCCTGTCACAGAAGAATCCAATTATGAAACCAAGGTGTCCTACTTAAAAATCTATTCCTAAGGATTTCTTACACTTCCAATTGTTTTTGAAGGGTTTGTGAGTACATTCAGAGTTAAAGTAATTGTATCAAGTAATTTCTTGTTTACAGAAGACATATCCCACACATTTTTCTTAGGCCAGCTATCATTTTGAAATGCAGCAAGAAGGCTAATATGACTCTCAATTTTTTTATATGTGCACATGCATTTTACATATATACACATATATATGTTAATTTGTGAATCTGGGATATCTGAAAAACGCTGAAAGAAAACAAAACCCTCTCCTGTTGAAATCAGGAGGCTACATTTAGTGATTGCAGAACCCGGACAGCAATCTTATATAACTTTCTAGAGCGTACTCTGCGTGTCGGACTGCTTCAGCGGTGCTTTATCCAGGTTTTATCCATTTAACTTCACTTACTCCAGAACAAATCTGTTGTAGAGATTTATGTATATATCAGTAAATAAGGTTCTTTTTTTCCCCAGCCAAAGATTAAGAAAAAATAAAATACATCTGCTTGAACTGTAACAGAAAACCAGTGTATTACTTTAGAGATACTGTCATTACCCCTGATTTGGTCTGGAGTAAACAAGACAAATATACTTCATTCATGGATCCCCCAAATTTATGAAGGCATATTTAATAGAGATCAAAGCGCATCACTTTATCAGTACTCTAGAAATAGATGGAGACTACGCTGTCAAAATGTATTTTAAATACATTTTAAATACAACATTAACACAGGCTTAAAAGCCTCTGTAGGAAAAGGAATACAGCAAGTTAAAAAGTGTTTAAAACTCTGCCAATATAACCAAAACAAATAACAACCACCAACCACCAAACCCAGGAACATGCATTTCCTTCTGGAATCTAATTTTAGTAGCATCAGTACCTTAGAAACGAGCCCACAATCCTATACAAAGAAATTAAAAGGACCTGCTAACTGTTGGAAATGAGAACTTAAATTATTCCATCATTTAATCTGATATTATTTTTAAACTAGCAGAACTGAAACTCGCACATGATCATACAGCAGAAATGCAAGCAACCATCACCAGCCCAATACACAGACTTCTTCCACCAGGGGAGAGGACTTCTGTACCTTGAGTTTGGGTAATTGCAGGTAGACTTTGCAGCAAATTAAACAGACAGGTAAAGACACTTCACCCTCAATGTCTGAAAGGAAAATGTAACTTGCGGTGTTGCAACTGTCTGCACATTTATATATGTATGCCGTTCATTTCCTCTTTTCTTTTATCCACAAATATCGCAATTCAGCAGGCCTGACATAAAATCTTCATTGGTCTTCTGTTAACAAGCTCAACACAAGACAAAATTCCTAAATCACCAAAATTTTTTTTTACTCTGCCATTCAGAGGAAAATTGAAAAAGGTATCTGAAATGATCATCTAACTGAATGAGAATGTTTCCCTGAGCCACTTAATTACGGGGGGGTGGGG